CTATTTCAAACAAATATTTCATTTAATCTGTACAACTTATGCTTGAAGTTTTTTTGTAATGTCAGCAAAAAAAGTACTTATCTGTTCTCATTAAGTGCATTTTTTTTGCAAGATCTGCACAAATATCAAAGATAATTTAAAAGACATTTTTCAAAAATCTAATTAAAAATATTGGTAAAGATTAGAATACATTTGAAGCATTCTTTCCCTAAGATATTAGATGTCACATAGCTTCATTGAACAGCCTATCAGACCAACGTTAACTGATTACGTTGATCATGAAAAACTATTTATCAAACCAGTAATTAGCTTAATTAGTGTATTACACAATAGTTAGGAAATACGATGACCTCACAGTAACAATTTGGTGCATTATCTTGTCCATGATAGATAACAGTTATTTTATTAAGCTTGACAGTAATTAATGGTCTAATTTTTTTTAAATGTTCGTACCTTGCAATGCATGGAAAATTGATAAAAACTGTTTAACTCTATCCATGCTAAATATATTAACTAGACTTGGATATCTTTCAGTCTAGGCAAAGCCATTGATTGTTTTTTAAGGAAAATTGCAAAAGATGACCTGACTGACGACAAGCAGTGCACAGATGTGCCTTCTGATCATGGGTCTGCAATGGTCACATGATTAGAATCATATACAGGCTAAAGTTTAACTGATTGATCGGACAGTGAATTGGTTTTATTTATGGGCTGCTCATTTTTGGTTATTGCAGTAAATGGCAGATGAACGTGAAGATCAAAATGAACAAATGATAATAGTATACTATAGTCCTTCACAGATCAAACACTGTTTATCTTTTCTCTTATTTGTATTGTTTTATAGGCGATATAATATGTACCAGTAATATCTCGGTTAAAGTGTTTAATACCAGTACTTTGTTTTGTTATATTTTTGTTGATATTTATGCCTTCAGAAAAGAATCATGTCAAACTATCAGCTAGCATATTGTAGGTATTGTGTTTTAAACACTAAGGCCCTTTTTTGATTGAATAAAAAAGAAGAAAAAAAAATGGATCTAAGACCTATTAACAAGAAATAAAGAGATCACATGTATCATTTATAATGAACAATTAAAATATTATTTTCTGGTTGCATAAACACATTTGACAGCTGAACATAATTTTTTATGATGTAAAGTTGTTACATGATACAAAGATTATCATTTCCAATTTGGACAAATGTACAATCCATGCTTTGAAGTTCATGTTTCTAAATGAGCTGAAATTAGTTACAAAGTGTATAATGAGACCACACCTTGTAAAGTGCAGCAACCGTACATAGCTCTTTTCTTTAAGTAGGAATTGTTCTCACTTAAAAGGGATATCTTATTTAACTAAATACAAAAAAATTCAGATGGTATTTAGTTCGGTGTAGTATTTAACATGCAAATATTATAATCAATTATCATGGCTGAGAAATTTATACTACGTTTAATAACTATAAAGTATAAATAAACTTGCCCTGAAATACTTGTGGTATTAAACTATGGTAGTTGCGGTTATGTTGTTTTTTCCGTTGAAGCGTTTTATCAATAAGGATTATTTTAGAACACAATTTAATTATTTTTCGTTCTACTTATTTTTGGACACTTTGTGAATGATTCAGAAGAGAAATGTTGTTGCTCCACCCACCTGGTTGTCCTTACTGGTATTATCTCAATCATTCATTTTTAAATGTAAATGGTATGGTCTTCTATAGTCAAACAAACTTGTTGATGTATTTCCCTTTTTACTCTTCAGTTTGAAAAAGAAATTGATTGTATTGAAATCCGACCTAATGTCTAATGCAAGAAAAACATTACTTCAAACATGAGTATTCTAATATGTACTTTATCTAAAGTGTTCCCATATATTGTTTAAGTGTCAGTGACCACACAAGATCTTGGTATACCACGGCTTCAACAAAAGACATGTTTAAAATGCGTAAAATATTTTACTCTTCTTTAGTGTGGATACCAGATGGAGTCATCCATTTAAAATAACAGTTCAACAGGAGCAGAATTTTTGAAACCCTGTAATTACGATGTCCACTGTTGATGATAATTGGACGATTCTATTGTCCATGTTTTGTTGGAAATGAAAATTTTAAATTTTTTGACATGATGAATTAGAATTCGGCACACGCACATTCTTTTATGTCTGGCACTTTTCTTTTGTGTCTAGATTAAAATAGCAGAAATTTTTAAAAAGAAATTCCGTTAAATTTAGATTTGGGTTTAAAGTTCAAGATGTTATCATTTACTTAGTGCGTACTAAGAAGGTTATTTGGTCTGTATATAGTAATTTGTGATACTGATGTTTTAACATGAGAACATCGCGTATCCAAGTGTGTGCACCTTTTTGCATCATGATTTCATTGAAACCTGTTCTTTGTGGTAAAACACACAAAATGTTCTGGCATTTTCTATTGTAAGATTTGTTAACTGAAGTTTTTTTATTTATCTTAGATCTTTTTTACTGCTATTATAACTTTAATTGAGCATTGACATCCTGTGAAAAATGAGTTATTTTTTTAAGTGCAGCATTTTTATGGGAAGTTGTTAATATGCGTCCTTCACAACTTTCAAAAGAAACAAAATTCTGGTGTACAAGAGAAATAAACATCATGTAATTAATGCGTTAGGTTCAAGATTAATGTACTTTGTAAAAAAAGGAAGTTTGTATATACCGGTACTTAACTTTATAAAAAAACAAACAATAACAACAAAAACAACATGTTCTTAGTTTGAAAAGTTCAGCAAAAGAACCTTATGTAGTTTTCCTTATATCCTTGAAGTTTGATAGATTAAGAATGCATAACAAAAATCGTGACAGAAAGAGTTGGCTGTCAGTGTTTATATCGGTACACCATGTTCCTGTAAAATTGTGAGAATTTGATTACAGACTAAATTTAATTTTGGAAAAAAAAGAAGATATTACACAATTTATAAAAACTGTAGCTGTACAGATTTTCAGGCGATAATTAGAAATTATAAAGATTAAAGCTTATGATGATTAGAGATTTAAAAAATTAGTTAAAAAAACTAAAATTTATGACGATGGTTCTGTTTGTACTTGAAGAATATTATAGTGAATGTGTGAAAAAGTACAATTGGCTTGTTATACAAAAAAAACTGTTATAAAAAGATTAAAAAGACATGAGTTGAACATTTACCGATTATCATACAATGATTAGAAATTCCCAGATTCAGATTACAGATTATATTAATGATTAGAGATTATTAAACATAGCTTAAAAGGATTCTTTAAAATCATAATTACGCCACGGTTTCCGTTTTTTGTTCAATTAAATTGAATTTGGGTTTTTGTAGACATCCTTGACACGATTACGTGACTTGAGTGGGCGTTTCCTGTGATGTTGGCTGTCTCGGTGATTTTTGCAACCAATTTACTTCTGTAGTGTGTAAGGTCATGAATAATTATGATCTTATTGTTCTATGTTCTCAAGTTTCTGCAGTTTGAACACCTTTTAATTGTTCCGTATCTAGATCAAGTTTCTTGAATTGTTTTCCAACTGTTTCAGCTGTTTCTATGAACATGTTTGCAATGTTCTCGATTTTGATAATTGTGATAAGATGATGTTAGCTCTTGCTTCAAAAAAACTTCTTATTTAAATTTTATTTTGATGAAACAGGTGAAATTTTGACACCCATAGTGTGGCAGGAATATTGTTAATCTAGTTCTTATTTTTGAATCAGGCTAAGTTGAAAGAGTACGCCTGTATCAGAAGTGAAAGGGGAAAAAAAACAACAGGTTTGTAGTCATTATTACAACAAAAACTAGCAGATAATGATGTAAATGAGGAAACCAGTTGTGTACTATATATACTGTATGGAGCTCAAACTGTCAAAATAATCAGAAAAGCTTGTATTCCATATATCATTTGTTGTATAACTGTGGAGTGTAGAGGAAAACAAACACAGCAAAAATATACCTAAAGTAAACAAATAATTTGAGAAAACTGAACCTCCCGAAATAAAGATTAGTAAATCTGTAGAAACTTGCAGACTTTGGAATCTGCATATAAAAGAATATGAATTCCATATTCTCCTGTGTGGATGATTAGAAATAAAGTAACAATTAAGATAATTATACTTAATGTAGAAATGCAGAATGGAATCCTATAAATTGTCAGGAAAAATTTTGCCGCCTTTTTTTTTTTGGCAAACATGTTTTTTGCAAGGTTCCAGGCAGCATTAGAAAGGTGAGAATTGTGTGTTGGAATGCAGATATCCCTGCTAGTTTCTATATGGTTATGATTGCACATGTAGATGCAAGAATTATCATGATTCGTACATAATACAAGCTAGCATTGATGTGGATATGCTACTTAATGACTCATATTTGACAAAATGGTTGTGTGGTGAGAAAACAGCATCGTGATGCCAAATGCTTTCATCAGTGACACGATACATCATGTTCACATTCCACTCTCTAACAGTACATTCTGTTACATCATATTTGTTGTTAATTTACGCAGCTAGAGAATAAATCTTCATTATTAACTCTACAAACATTGTTCTGTCAATTATCATTGTAATCATCATCATTATCATCTTCATAGTCGTAATGGGATTGCCTACAACTCTCAGCAGTAATACTATCATCATCATCATCATTGTGAACATCATCATTTTTGTGATCATCGCCATTACCATTATTGCCATCATCATCATTATCATCAACATCGTCATCATCATCATTATCATCAACATCGTCATCATCATCATTATCATCAACATCGTCGTCATCATCATTATCATGATCAGTGTCATCATCATTCGTCATTATTACAGAAATAACCATTGCAGTTACTTTATCTCCTTTTACAGTTTTCAATATTTTCATTTTATAATTTTAGAATAAACTTGATAATTAACATGTACAGTTTAATGTTATCAATTTGTATGTTCTTATAACCGTTTATCAATTTTTCACATAGAGACATCTCTCTACTTTTCTTTTTGCTCTATTTTCAGAAAATTATAAACACAAGCGAAGGAAAAGAGACTTGGAAAGTGATATAGAAAACTTAGATTTTAGTGATATATCTAGTGCATCTTCATTTAATAATTTAATTTCATCGTCTAATTCTCCTCATCGGACTAAACGCTCAGTGTCACATAAAAACTATGTGGAAGTTATGGTAGCCACTGACCATCTCATGCTGCGGTATCATAAAGATGATCTTCAACATTATATTCTTAATTTGATGGCCATAGTGAGTATATTTCTATTATATTCTTAATTTGAATTTGATGGCCATAAATTTCTACTATATTCTTAATTTGATGGCCATAGTGAGTTTATTTCTACTATATTCTTAATTTGATAGCCATATATTTCTACTATATTCTTAATTTGATGGCCATAGTGAGTATATTTCTACTATATTCTTAATTTGATGGCCATAGTGAGTATATTTCAATTATATTTTTAATTTGAATTTGATGGCCATAAATTTCTACTATATTCTTAATTTGATGGCCATAGTGAGTATATTTCTATTATATTCTTAGTTGGAATTTGATGGCCATAAATTTCTACTATATTCTTAATTTGATAGCCATAGTGAGTATATTTCTATTATATTCTTAATTTGAATTTGATGGCCATAAATTTCTACTATATTCTTAATTTGATAGCCATAGTGAGTATATTTCTACTATATTCTTAATTTGATGGCCATAAATTTCTACTATATTCTTAATTTGATGGCCATAGTGAGTATAATTATACTATATTTGTAAATGAAATCTAGTCTTTCATATTTTTTCAAGTTCAAAGTAAACTAGAAGTCAGGGCACTAGTAGTCCTCTCATGGGTTAAACATACTTCACACTAAATTTAACATAAATTACAGCCCTAAAGGCCAAATAGGTAGATTTGTACTATTAAAATTTTTGGACTCCATTCAGTGAGTGAAATTATGTTACTATTATTTATGAATGCGGTAGATCTAATGCGATAACCGAAAATAACACAGTCGGTCTATTTTTGTTTTGCAATAATTTATTTCTTTTATCGGGGAAAAATAAATATCAGCAAATTATATCTCATCAAAACAGTATTCATTTTATTTCGGTTAAATTTCAAATCAGTGTACGCTTTATTTAAAGAATGGTATTATATTGCCCTTAAAGTTATCTTCAGTTCATCAATTTTCATTTGAAAAAGGGGATACTGGCATGCAATCCTTTAAAAACAGGCCAGGGTAGAAATAACTAAATGTTTGGTTCATGCACATGTACAGATTTTAATCCAGAACACGAATGGGGATAATGTCTGTAATATTGTCATATTCGAAGTACTATACAAAGAAATGAAGTAAATTCTCTTCAGATTTGCTTTAAAACAAAAACAAACAACATACAAGCTATTCTTTGTACACTAACTAAACAAGTTTGTTGGTTTATGTTGTTTTTTGTTTGTAATTTTGCGGTGTTTTCTATTACCACGATAAAAATCACGTCTGTACAACAAAAATCTTTCAGTCATAATAAAATTCTTTAATAAGTTTTGCTATTATAGACAATAAATAAAGATGTTACTAACAAACAAATAGAAACATTTCTTTGGTCTGAAATTCAGAGCTTTGCTTTAAAATCCAAAAATATCTAGAAAAAATATTTAAAACTAATCAAATGTAACAAATTATTACTGTCACGCAATCAGGCTTTGGTTGGTTAAACTGTTCTCTAATCGGGGAAATTTAGGTCTTTGGGTCACCGGGAATTAAGAGACCGTAATGCAGAAGATATTGCCCGTGACTGTTTTATCTCAACGAGGGTGATGAAGATTTCAACAAGTAACTCCTTTAAATTACTCATATTTCTACCAAAAATTTCCTACTCCTTTGCTTTACTGATTAGATGAAAATTGAATTAAAATGGGATTCTGACACTTTTGGTTTTTGAACACTGTGTTATTAATGATATATATGTCAATTCTAAGCACTATTACAAAATATATTTGAATGCCATTAATTAAGATGCAAGTTGTATGAGATGCCTGTAAGTCTGTCAACTAGCAGAGTATATGGTGACTAACACAATACCTAGCAATCAGAATAAGAAAAACCACTGCCGAGCAATTTCCTCCGAATGTTTCTGCTGTTACTTTATATGTACATACTTCGTTTCATTGAACTATGTTTGAATGCTTCTGAATGTTTAACTTACATGGCTGTAGCTGTCTTACATTTAGACATCTGGACCGATGAATTGCACACACAGTGTTAAACCAAATGTTTAAATGCACAACCAGACTTATACAGTCAAAGATGACATTGAAAGCACATAAATAAAGTATCTGTGCATATTTTATGCTAGCTTGTACATGAATAGGTCATGAGAAAAGCCAAATTGCAGTTCATAAAATCAAGAATGACACTGTTGCTGAATTGAAAATGTCAGAGTGTAGTAAAGTACATATTTTGCACCTCTTTTTGTATCTCAGATCTATAAATATTTTAAATGCATAATGTTTGTGTATGAATATTGTTCAGTCTACAGTGTGATGAAATTATTTTGCAAACTTCTTTCCTTTTTTTGGTCCAATTCCCCCCCCCTTTTTTTTTGGGTGTGCAAGTATGTATGAATAAAACTCCAAAAACTGGTTAAGTAATAAATTGTAAAGCTAGATGGATGTTATTCTGTAGCTTGGAATATGCAGTATTTTACATCTTTCACCAGAAAACATGAAAGAATTCTAAAATCTGTGTAAGTAAAGTAGTATGTCAGACTGTAGTTATATGATATTTCAATACACCTAAGCTATTCTACATATGGCCCTTATCATTTACACCAAATATTATGTAAATATTTAATATACTTGAAGTTTTGATGTTTTAAACATGCAAAAGTGTGCCAAAATGCATTTCATGTTTGAAAATAGAGATTTTTCCACTTTCTACCTCTTTGTTTGTGTCTGTTCTTTTTTTGTATGCACATTGTTGACTAGGCTGAACATCAGGATAAAACATGGAGAAAACATGATGTTACATTTACATGGACCACCCTGTTATATTTGTTGTTGTTTTTTCTTTTTGATTGATGAAAGAATGTTTGTAATTTATGTACTCCCTATACAGGCCATCTAAATGGTTGAAAGTCCTATATTACAAGGTCATAATTTTCTTTCCTTCACAACCTTTACTCAAGAATATGAAAATATTTTTATTAAAAAAATGCCTGTATTTTTGGGAGGACTTTTCTTTTCATCTTGCTATTTGATCAATTCATGTAGTTGTCTGGTATGAGCAGTGTCAGATTTGTGGCCGAGTTCTTCAGTTAACAAGTTTGCCCTCTAAGCTGAAATGGATTTGTATTGCTGGGGTTGTTGGTTTGATCCAATGGTGAGGTGGAATTTTTCTGTGATCTCAGACATTGAGTCTGATGGTCATGTGTCTCTCATTACTAATTCAGAAGAAGAAAAATTGATAGTTAATGGTTAGTTATTTAGGAAAACCGGATCAATGGACAAAATGACAAAATATGGCCTAATTATAGATGTGTAAAGAAATCAGCATCACAGCCAAACAAGCTTCAGTTACAAGTAAATTATGTTGTCCCCAAAGTCATCAAAATTGCACTTATGTTGCTACTGTCATATACTGGTACCATATCTTCCTGTTCTCAGTGTTTGTTTCAAAATAGGAAGACTTTGACTTATTGGTAAGATCTTGTCCAAAGCAAGTTTAGTGGAGGCCACAAAAATCTGCCTGTTTAAAACGCTATACTACAATATGTGGACTTTTATTAATACTACAATTTGTGGATTCAAATGCTGTCAGTTCCTAAAAATTGAACACTTTTAATGTTGTGGTTTATAATAAGGGGCTTTATTATATACCTATAAATGTTCTCCCTAAAATACACGCAAATCTTGAAGCGCAAATACGCTTCAACGGATAGAAATTTCCGTATTATGTTAGTGACAAATACGGTACCATATATGGAAGTGCCGGACTATTTTTGACGTTGGTTCCGATCTTAGCTTTGTATTACGTTGCATTTGGAAACGGGAACCAAAATTAGTAAAGGCGTGGCCAGTTTGCAAGAATTACGTATTCATCCGTCAGTCATGAATTTATTTCTTGACAACTACATTTCATTTTCTGAATTAAACGAAAAGGTATATAATAAAAGGAAAACTATGTTGTAGTAGCTTTCTGAGGCTATGTATTTTTCTACTCGCAACGTTGGAAAATTGATATCTCGCTCGACCTTCGGTCTCGCAAGATATCAATTTTCCTCCGCTGCTCGTAGCAAAATACAAAGCCTCAGAAAGCTACTACAACATAATATTCCGTATGTATAACTTGTGATGAAGATATTGCCTGTGACTGTTTTTATAAACCAAGTCTGCAAGATTTCTTTACCTGGTTAATTTTTTAGCTCGACTTTTCTATGAAAAGGGGAGCTATCCTACTCGCCCCGGCGTCGGCGTCGGCGTCGGCGTCGGCGTTGGCGTCACACCTTGGTTAAGTTTTTCGTACCACCCCACTTTATTTCAGAAGTATTACAAGTATGGCTTTGAAACTTACCATACTTGTTCACCATCATAACCTCCATCTACAGACAAGAGTACATAACTCTGTCAAGGTTTTTGACAGAATTATGGCCCTTTTTTGACTTAGAAAGTGTATTGAGCTTGGTTAAGTTTTTTGTACGCACCTCACTTTATTTCAAAACCATTGGAGGTATTGCTTTGAAACTGACCATACTTGTTTACCATCACGACCTTCATCAACAGACAAGAGGACATAACTCTGTCAAGGTTTTTGACAGAATTATGCCCCTTTTTGACTTAGAAAATACATTGAATATGGGTAAAATCCACTTATTGCCTTAACCCTTTGAGATATTGCTTTGAAACTTTTAATGCTATTTCACATCATTACCCCCATCTGTACGCAAGAGAAGGTAACTCTGTCAAGGATTTGTTTTAAAAATTAAGGCCTTTTATCGACTTAGAATCTTGGTTAAGTTTTTAGTACCAGTCCACTTTTTGACTGAACTGTTTGAGATATTAATTTGAAAGTTGGAATACTTGTTTACCATCATGGTCCCAAAACATGGGCAGGAGAAGGTAATTCTGTTAAGGATTTTATTTGAATTATGGCCCTTTTTTGACTTAGAAACTCAGTTAAGATTTTCATTCTTGTCCACTTGTTGACTTAACCATTTGAGATATTACTTTGGAAGTTGGAGTTCTTAT